GAATACTTTCAGTTGTGCTCCTTCGTTTATGTAGAGGGCGTGACCGTGACCGTGACGGTTGATAGGTGAATTGATTTTTTCTTTTTCATTTGACGACAATGATTTTTTTTGTTTTGTTTTACCACGATAGTCTCATCTTGCATTATTACATATTGGATTAAAATATAACTATGGCCATGCATATTATTGACGAGTAAAAACCCAACTTTAATGTGCGTAAAAAAGTAGAATCATACTGTTAATTTGTTGTGTTGTGAACTTATGATACACGCCTACCAAGTTCTTATCATTCTAGAATGGTGAGTGTTAGGTTTGACAAAATTAATGTATATGACCACTATCATCCTCATTCATCAACAAATTAAAAAGATTAACTTCTTAATTAAAATTGATATAAATATATACATATACATTTTTAAATTGATAATTATTGATATGATTTACTTCCGATATAGAGGATAGTACATTACAATGATAATAAGTACTAGGTTTGACAAAGATGCATGTAAAACGAGAAACTCAAAACAAAGGTTTAGAAACTTTTCTGACATTTGTCATATTAAGATTTGTTTAGATTTCTTTTATTTAATTATATAAGAATATTAGTATTAAATTAGTTAGATACACTAAGAGCATGTACATTGGGAGGTCTAAGAGGGAGTTCTCAAAATATTAAAATATTAAAACACACACTCCCTCTTCCTTTTACTCAACTTTATACCTTCTCTTTCATCATTTTACTCAATTTTTATTAATTTTATATTTAAACACTCTCTCTCACTTTTAAAAACACTCTCAAAAAGTTCTCAAAGTTCTCATTTGAGAACTTTTCCAAAAATTCTACATTAAATACACTCACTATCTCTTTTCTTTACTCAAATTTTATTAATTTTATATTTCAATACACCCCACAAAAACATTCTCTTTTTTCTTTTTACTCAAATTTTAATAGTTTTATATTTTGAGAACCCCTATTAAACTTCCCAATGTACATGCTCTAATAAGAGGCTTCACCGATGCACATGCTCTAATGACCACTGTCCTCGTCATCCATCCAACAAATATAATAGAAGTTCTTAAGTGAGTCTCTCACATTAAAAAACTAATAAAAATAAAAAAAAGTGAATGAGATACTTGCATGGATTTTTCAAATGAGAAATTCTCTCAAATGTTTGAGAGACTCACTTGTGACTTAACAATTGTCATAGCATGATTGACTC